CCATTCTAAGTGGCCACCTGAGTGGCAGGGTGTGCCCGGTCTCTTGGCGGGGCCATGGAAGTGTGTCAGGGCTTCCCTATGCGCCACCTGTCCTGAGGCAGCAGGGCCAGGCTGTGCCACTGACACTGGGCCAAGGGAAGGACCCAGGCACCTGGCTCCCAGACCCACCAGATCCCCCTGCCCTCCCAGAGCTGGGAGAGAACCCAGGCGTCCCGGCTCCCAGTCCCACCCAGCTCCAATCCCACAGACCCCACTCCAAGGTGGGAGAGAACCCAGGCGGGACACCCCCTGCTCTCCCCAGGGAGGCAACCCAGGTGCCCCTCTGCCCCACCCAGGGGCCAGGGAGGCAACCCAGGTGTCTGAGACTGCGGGACAGGCGGCCCGGGGCTGGTAGGGCAGACAGACGGGCACCGGGGACCCAGGTGTCCGGGTCCCTGCCCCGCTCCGACCCCGTGGGAAGGAACCCAGGCATCCGGGTCCACAGCCGCCCCCAGCCCAGAGCCGCCCGCTGTCACCTCGGGGCTGGAGGGAAGCTCCCGCTCCAACCCCGCTTAGAGCAAGCATGGGACCCAGGCGTCCGACTCCAGCCGGGCAGCCCCCCTCCCGGGCACGGGGAGCCAGGCGGCCGGCCGGCGCGGGCACTTACCGTCGGTGCTCAGCGCTGTACTGGGGACGGCTGCAGCGCTCGCGGCTCAGACACCTCGGGGGGGCGGAGCCAGGTGGGGGGGGCGGGGCACCTGGCCACACCCCTGCCCCACTGCCCCCTTCACCCCACTCGCCCCCTGTCCCGGGCCGGGTGCCCCTGGTTGGAAGCGGGGTGTGTGAGGGGGCTCCGCCCACATCGGGGCTGTCGGGATCGGGCCCATTTTCAACCAGTACAACCAGTGCCAGGCAGCGGAGAACTGGGATGGGGCCAAACTGGTGCCCCTCACTCCTGACCCGCAGCCCCCTCCCCCGGGGCTCTGAACTCTCCGCCCCAGCCCGTATCAGCTGCACAGAGCGAGCCCGGCCGGAGCCAGCAGACACCCAGGGAGGAATTTCCCAGCAATGCCCACGTGCCAGCTGCGGGGCCGGGGAGGGGACAGGGGGCTTCCGGTCGGGAGTGAGGGGCACCGGGGTCAGAGCGATCTCCAGGCTGTTGGGGAGCTGCCGTGTCCCACCCCAGAGTCAGCTGCATCTCTGCTGGCTCAGAGGGGGCTCCAGACCCGTTATTTGCAGCCATTCAGGAGCAGCCAGGCTCTACCCCAGACTCAGCTACATCCCGGTGGCTCAGAGGCATTTCCAAGCCTGTTCTTCGTGGCCACCTGAGAGCTGTCGTGTCCCGCCCCAAGACTCAGTTGTCTCCTGACCAGCCCAGGGGGAATTATTGCAAGTGTCCATCGCGGCACCCTCGCTCCCGGCTCAGCCCCACTTTGGCTGCCTCAGGGCTAATTCCAAGCCCTGGTATGTGCAGCTGTTTAGGAGCTGCTGAGCCCCACCCCAGAATCAGCTGCATCTCGGGGGCTCAGACACTCTTCCCAGCCAGACTGGGCAGGGCAGGGTGTGTCCGGCCTTACAGGGCTTCCCCACAGGCCACCTGTGCTGGGACACCACTGACACTGGGCCAGAGGGAGGAGCCAGGTATCTGGGTTTCCAGTCCCACCAGATCCCCCTGCCCTTCCAGAGCTGGGAGAAAACCCAGGCATCCAGGCTCCCAGTTCCACCCAGCTCCAATCCCACAGACCCCACTCAGGTGGCAGAGAACCCAGGCATCCCCCGCAAGGGAGGGAACCCAGGTATCTCCCTCCCCCCACAAGCCCCATCCTCATCCAGGGGCCAGGGAGGGACCCCAGGCATCTGGGCCGGGTGCCCCGAACTTGGAGTGGGATGTGTTAGGGAGCTCAGGATTGGGCCCATTTCCAACTAGTACAACCAGTGCCAGTAAGAGGGGAACTGGGATGGGACCAAATTGCTGCCCTGCCCTGCTCCTCACTCCCAGCCTGCTGACCCTCACCGTGGGGCCCTGAATTCTGCATCCCAGCCAGTATCAGCTGCACAGACCGAGCCCAGCCAGCAGCCAGCAGAGATAGAGGGAGGAATTTCTGGGCAACGTCCCACAGGCCAGCTCCAGGGCAGGGTGGGGGGGGGGGAGAGTGAGGGGCATCATGGGGCTGGAGGGCAGGAGGCTGTGGGTCAGGGGTGAGGGGCACTGCAGGGCTGGAGGGAGCAGGAGGCTGTGGGTCGGGAGTGAGGGGCACTGCAGGGCAGGGCAGCCAGGGGCAGGACAGGTGCAGAACTGGTCCCACAGGCTCTGCCTGCTCCAGTCCCAGGATTGGGGAACCAGGGAGGCTCCGAGCCCCACCCTGGTGGCGCTGAGCAAGGAATTACTCACCTGCCCCAACTGGAACAGCAGGGGGCTGTAGGTCGGGACTGAGGGGCACCAGCCGGGTTGTGAGGGGGGCGGGGCAGGGGTTGGGAGTGCAGGGGCCTGTGGGTTGGGAATGAGGAGCACCAGCAGAGCTGGGGACTGCAAGTCAGGATGGAGGGGGACCAGGAGGCTGAGGACAGCAGCCCAGCTATGTTGCAACGGAGCTAGTTCCTGTCCCCATGACTCGGCCGCATCCTTCCCACTCTCGGAATGAGGCAAGAGCAAGGCCCTGCCCAGCCCCGTATGTGCGGCACCGCAGCCAGGAATGCAGGGTCCCTGCCAGGGACTCACATGCTTGAGCCCTGCCCAGGAAGCGCATGATACAGCTAGCACAGAGCCCTGGGACTGGGGCTGTGGGTCAGGAGTGAGGAGCACCAATCACTCAGTCCAGACTGGGGTGGCTTGAACCATTTATTTAAATAAATTAGCGCACTGGCAGGTGAGCGGGGCCAGCCTGGCCCTGGCTAATCAGACGAGAGTGATGTGGACAGCAGGCAACAGGTTGGCCAGCTCAGCTGGGGCCTCGGGGAGGTTGGTCAGTGGGTTGTCAGCCAAGTCGAGCTGGGCCAGGCAGGGGCACAAGGTCAGAGGTCGCAGGTCGCTGGGACGCCGCAGACCTGGGGGCAGCAGAGTCAAGGAGAGATCCAGGTCTAGAGCAGCCCCACCTCTCCCAGGCCCCGCCCTTTCCTTCTGACACCCCTCCATCCCAGGCCCCACCTCTTTCCTTAGCTCCACCCCTTCTTCCTCTTAGCCCTGCCCCTTCTTTCTCCTTGCCCCACCCCTCACCCTACCTGCTTCAAACTTTCTCCCTAGACCCACCCCCCTCCACAGGCCCCACCCCTTCATGCCTAGCCCTGCCCCCTCCTCCACAGGCCCTGCCCCCCGCCTTGGCCCAGCCTGGCACATACGGTTGCGGCGCAGGGACAGCTCCTGTAGGCGTGGCAGCCCGGGGAGTCCGTCCAGGCTCTCGATCTCGTTCCCGTCCAGCTCCAGCACCTGGGTTGGGGGGAGGGCGAAATAGTCAGGCCCCGCCCCCAGCTCCAGAGACCTGGGTCCCATTGCCCCGTGTTGAGGGCTTAGGCAGGTTGTTGGGGACGTAGAGGACAGTGGTCCCAGACGCCTGGGTTTGGGGCTCACCTCGAGGCAGCGCAGAGCTGCCAAGGCAGGTGGCAGGTGCTGCAGCCGGTTCCCCGCCAAGTTCATGTGGGTGACAAGCAGTAGGTGCTCCAGGTGGCCCAGTGCTGTCAGCTCCTGTGCAGGTACGGGGCACAGGCTAGCTCAACCCCAGCCCCAGCACCAGCGCCCTGCCCAGACTGCTTTGCATAGCCCCACCCCACGACCCCAACCTTCTCCCAGCTCTGCGTCATTCCGTTGAAGTAGTCCCCTCCAGCCCCAGGCCACGCCCCTTCCCCCTGCCCCAATGCTGTCCCCCCGGCCCTAGCCCCCCCCCCCACCACCGCCTCACCCTTGCTTCCTTCACAACTCTTCCTACTTCTTCGTGCACCACCCAGTGACCCTGCCCACTTTTGTGGCTTCACCCACTGCCCCCTTTTTCCCCATTCTGTCCCCTTGCTCTAAGGCAGCCATTCCCAAACTGTGGGGCACGACCTCAAATGGGATCACGATATCAGCAGATGGGGTTGCAGGGAGGGGTCCCACTGAGGAAGAGTTTAGGAAGTGCTGCTCTAGTGCCTCTGCCCTCTGCATGGGTAGCCCTGCCCCT